ATACTTTATATTTATCCTTATGCATGGATATTTATACCTAAATTATTTCATTTATTTTATAGCTTATGTCTATATGTATATATATATATTTACATATTCAAATATTTATATGTATATATTACATATCTAAATATTTCTGTTTACATATATTTACATATCTAAATAATTTATATATACATTATATATTACAGTAAACACATGAAGTACTGCTGCTCTGTTGGAAACAAATTTGACTAGGCCTACCTTGATTAATTTGTTAATCTTTGGTAATCTTGCCTGTAATAAAAAGAATGGCAAAATTGAAGATTCTTTTTATCAAGGGCATTTCCTTTGCAAGTTGATAATAAGAAAGTAGTGCAACACATAAGTAATATTTTGGTATCCATTTACATAATGACCGCTATGTCATAAAAAGGAAAAAACTAGCCTACACTCACTATATATTAAATAATATGTGCTGGTATATCATCATTGCGGAGATAATGCAGACGGGGTGCATAGCTGCATCCACCCTTTGCTTGTACCTGCAGGATCCCTCATGGCAAGTTGCCAGGCAGGGACTTGGCCCATCTTGAGCTCTTCACGACAGGTTTGATCGATCTGCCCAAGCCACGACTTCCTAGGTCACCCACAGGCCTCCTCCACCCAGGGCTGTCTCGAACAGAGACAACCTGGTGGGCGGATCATCCTGAGGGAAAGCGAGCCAGGTGGCCATAGCCTGAGTTGGCGATCACGGATTGTGCAGGTATAACAGGTCCTGTGCCAGTCTCACGGTGCAGCCGTTGGTTGGACACATGGTCCCGCCAACAGTACCCCATGATCCGGCGCAAGGACCTATTACAAAAGGCTTCAAGGAGCTCCAAGGCAGGATAATGTCCAGGTTTCACTACCATAGCAAAACTGGCATTATCAGGGCCTTGAAAACGAAGCTTGGTCCTTCTGCACAGGTACCGACATCTCCAAATACTCTTGTTGAGAGAGTTCATGACCCCTGCTGCCAGGCCAATCCGTCTGCTGACTTCATGGTCTGACAGCCCAGAGTTATGAACTACACTACCAAGGTATGTAAAGCTCTCTGTGACTTCAATGTCCTCGCCGCAAGCACGTACCGACTGAACAGGTTCTCCTAAAAGTCCCCAAATTCCTGGACCTTGGTCTTGGTCCAGGAGACCTCTAGACCCAGGGCTTCGCTTCATTGCTAAATGCATCGAGAGCCGCCACTAGGGTTTCCAAAGACTCAGATAGAATGGCAACGTCATCAGCAAAGTCAAGGTCTGTAACCTTGATATTGCCCAGCGTTGCCCCACAATGACTTTGAACAGTAGCTCTGCCCAGTATCCAGTCCATGCAAGTGTTGAAAAGAGTTGGTGCAAGGACACAGCCTTGCCTCACTCCTGAACTAACAGGAAAGAAGCTCGACAGGCCCCCACCACACTTTACAGCACTTTCAGTACCAGTATACAGGCTTGCTATTAGTCCAATAATCCTTGTTGGATTCCTCTCAGCCTCAGGATCTCCCAAAGTGACTCCCGATGCACCGTATCGAACGCCTTCTTGAGGTCGATGTAGGCTGCAAGCAGCCCACGCCCGAACTCACGACGGCGCTCTACAATGACTCGAAGCGCGAGGATACGGTCTATTGTGGACTTACCAGGAGTGAATCCGGATTGCTCCAGTCTCTGGTGCCTCAGTAGATGGTCTCTGATACGTCTCAGAAGGATGTGGGCGAGAACCTTGCCTGGTATACTGAGCAGTGTGATGCCTCGGTGATTGCTGCAGTCCCAACGGTCCCCCTTCCCCTTCCAGAGAGGGATGACCACACCCCTCAACAGGTCAGGAGGAACGGAACCGGACTGCCAGATGGCAGCCAGGACAGCATGTAACCCCCGCCATAGGTTCACCACCAGCCTTTAACAGTTCAGCTGGTATGCCGCAGATACCAGCTGCTTTACCACTCTTCAGCTTGGAAATCGCCCCCCTAACTTCAGTTAGGGAGGGGGTCCTCACTGATAGGTGGATCCGGCAGGATCTCGACACTACCCGCATCCAACTGTTGGTGGGTCAACCTGGTACAGCTGCTCAAAATACTCAGCCCAACGTCCCGCACCGCAACAGGATCTGAAACGATCTGACCACTTACTGAGCGAACTGCTGTCACCTGTGAAGAGGGCTTGGAGTTCAGCTTTCTCAGGGCTTGGTATGCAGGACGAAGGTCATTTACTAAGAAATGGCCTTCTACCTCCTCTGCAAGACTCCTAATAAACTGTTCCTTGTCCCTTCTTAACAAAGACCAAGTTCTGCGCAAGAAACGGTGCAAATCTCGATCCCCTGCCAGACGAGCCGCACGACAAGCATCTATGGCATCCAGTGTCTCCTGCGAGATGAAATTTCACCTTGCTCTTGGAGGTTCACCAATTGTCTCTTGGGCTGCATTAAGCGTTTCACGTTTGAAGGTGTCCCACAGAAGTACAGGGTCCATCAGATTTTCGAGCGCTGTGAAATGACCAGAGACTGCCTCAGCAAACCCCCGGCACATTCCCCCTCCTTCAGCCTGTCCAAGTGAAACACCCTGGAGTGATCATTGGTCTGCTGGGGGGTTTTGAAATGGACTCGGAGGGTAGCCACAATCTATGGTCAGTACCACAGAATCGGCACTCTATACACAGGTATTGATGGTATAAAAAATGAAGAAAATTGGTCATAAACAACAATGATTGGGTGAGACACTGGAGACAAGACCCCTGGAGTTAGGAAGGATTGTGGACATAGTGATGTTTAAAGACTCATACAGAGTGCCCTCAAGGTTGTTGGCTGCAGTAATAGGAACTAACTCACAGAGAGGGGTTTAGTCACTTTGTCAACAACTGCCAATACTTCCACAGATCTCTTGAACTGGTCATTTGTAATTTAAAACAACTACAGATAGAGGAATATTACACAGTGTATAACTGGGACCAAAAATAAAAGCTGTAAAGTTGGATAGCTGGTGAAACTAGCTGTTGAAATAGGTCTACGATGCTGCGTTCAGAACTCCTCGTCCAATACGATGGACAAGATATTTTGACCATTTGGAACCCCTACTTTGGCGTCCTGGACAAGCTATCCATCTCCCCCTCCTTTCCAGCCACGCAAGCAGGACGAGATGACATCACAATACCATTTGTATGCAAACAATGACAGTTGCAGGCAACCATATGTTACTAATAGGCAATTTTATAGCCCTTTAGGCCGATAAAAAAAAATCCCAGTTTCTCATCAAATACATAGTGCATTTTTTTTTTGCTAGTCTACCAGCTTGAGGACAGATGCCATCATAAAAGATATACTTTTAAGATTCTAAGAGGCGGCCATTTTAGTCTTTTATAAATGGGCCGCCAGGCAATGTGAACTACTTGCAACTCTTGTCCTGTTCTCCACACAGCACTTTGCGAAACATTTTGTCAAGTCAACCATTCACTTGATTTTGCTGTGCAATGCATGGTGTGTTTTGCCTGAGTGAACGTGAAGACATTTTTCAAACGGTAGGCTCTTTTGGCACATTTATGTCATTTACCAGTATCTATGAGGCCGCTGCAGCTTAAACTATGATATATCCCATTCTATTTTTCCCCATCTATAAGATGGTGGTGTCTATTTCCATCTATCTATGCATGTCACTATATGTAACTTACACCAAACAGTGAATGTTTACTATCGAGCTGGTAGCATGGTAGGCAATGAAGGCTTCGGAGGTTCGGAATGTGGCCTAGTTGTCCTGCTGATCCTCATAAGTTGTTTGGATGAGCAAGACAAGGAGTTTCGAATGCAGCAATAGGCTAACTACATTTTGTGTTATGTGGCTAAGTTCTGTTCACTTGTTAGTTAGCATAATATGTTAGTTGTTAGGTGTCAAGTGTGTGTAGGGCAGGTCAAACAGGACTCTATAGCTCTGTCAGACACTTGAGACAAACTACTTAGGATATATCTGGACTCAAACTTCAGAAAAACTGTCAAGATCACATCTACACACACAGGGATAGAGGGGCCTTTGGAGGATATATCTGCCTTATACAAAATGCCAAACAATTTGTAAGAGAACGATTTAAATCCAGAAATAAAACAGCTAATAACCAACACCTCTCGGGAAGCAGAAGGTAAAACCACTATACCACAACTCAGGAAATACGATAAAACTTTACTGTAATGAGTTGTGAATCCCTGGTGAAACTATACCAATATCTCAATATTTACCTCTTAGGGAACCTTGATAGAAGACCGTATCTTGCTCTTACTTTTATCGGCAGGACGCCAGTATCCTGTGTAACGATGACTCTGCCGTGCAACCCTGAGAGAGACGGGCGATCGCTTCAGGCAGTGGGATTATATGGGCCTCTGTGGTTGCGACCTATCGTTCCTTTAACACACGTTTCCTACGTATTATTTTTTGGAAATGGCAATAAAATACGAGATAGGATGGTGAAAATAAGGTCAAAGAGTGCCGTTCTGTCATTCTCCTTTATCAAAAGTCGTTATCTTACGTTCACGATCTCTCTGACACCAGGGATAGAAAGGCGAAGACTGAGGAATCACGTCGAAAACTATTGGATTTTTATTAGTAGATTTCAAGTACCGGTGTGATCCCCAAAATTGACTTTTGATAAGACTACTGATTAGTTTTGATTTATGCATATCATGTATAAGCTATTTTGAGTTAACTAGTCACCATTACTACTATATTATAAGCAAGATTATCGTGTTTCCCTTGTATAGTTATAAAGTTTGATTTGGCATTTTCATTAGGTGTAATACATAAACTTGTCCCTTCCTCCCTCCCTGTCTCCATAAACTTTAAGTAAAAAAAAAAAAAAAAAAAAAAAAAAAAAAAAAAAAAAAAAAAATCCCTCTCTCTTCTCTCCATACTTCAGTGCCTTCAACTTCTTAGCTAACGATGAAAGCCGAAAAGCTGTAATACTATATGAATAAACTTTCGGTATCGCTGTACAGTATAGAAGTAAAGTTGCTAAGTAGTGTATTATACCACCCGGTAAGTCGGTAACTCCGACAGTCGGTGTGAATTCGAAGGTTTGGTAAGTCCTTGTTATGTGTTAGTTGTAATACTTTTGTTTGTATATGTCATTAGCTGAGAAGACTATAATGAGGTGCATTATTCTTCAGATGTTCTTTACACATATTTCGTTAATTCATTTTGTGCTAGGAGACCTCATTACATAAGAATTTTGCTTGGACTGTGGTAAATTACTTCTTTTCGTTTACGTTTAAGCCATATAGTTTTTAGGTTCTTGAATATTATTCCTGAGAAGCACCGTCTCCTCACACATAACATGTATGTGTGTGTTAGAGAGGAACTTCCCATCATTATATGTGTATATATATATATATATTTAATAGTTTCCATTAGTTACTATCACCATCATCATGCTATCATCATCATTACAGTTACTATCACTATCCCTGCTACCACTGTCACAACCCCAGCACCTCTACACCACCACCATGGTCACACTACCACCACCATTGCCTCACTATGAAGACACTGCTACACTACCACCACCAGCCACACTACACCACCACCCCACACTACCACACCACGCAACTACCACACACACACACCACACGCACACTACCACCACCACCGCACACTACACACCACCGCCACACTACCACCACCACCGCCACACTAACACACCAACACACCGCCACAACTACACACCACCGCCACACTACACCACACGCACACTACCACCACCGCCACACTACCACACCACGCACACTACCACACCGCACACAACCACCACCGCCACACTACCAACACCGCCACACTACCACCACACTGCCACACTGCACATACACATCACCACACTGCACACTACCACCACTGCAGACTAACTACCCCACTGCCAGACTTACACACCACTGCCACACTACCACCACTGCCACACTACCACCACCACTGCCAGACTACTACTACCACCACAATCACACCACCTTCACCACTACCATCACACCAACACACTTAATGCTAAATGATATGATGACAGATATACAAATTACAAAAAAGGTCTTATTATTACAAAATTAATGACCATTCACTCATAAATAAAATTAAATAATAAATTGAAAGGGAGGTTAATAAATCAGCATATAATTTTCAGCTTCTAAATATCTCACAATGGAGCGTTGGATTGGGCGTGTTGCTCTGGTCACTGGAGCAAGTTCGGGCATTGGAGCTACCATCTGCCGACAGCTGGTTGGTGCAGGCATGAAAGTAATAGGAGCAGCACGTAATGCTGACAGGATTCAGGTGTGTATTCTAGAATAAGAAAGGCACACTTGAACTTGCCTTTACAATTGGGTCAGTCTTGGTCATATATAGTTAAGAAACCTCAAAAGCCAGTTAGCAAATAATTTGTTAAAAGGCAAGATGTAGTTTTATATTTTTTCTGGCAGAATATATGGGAAAGTAGTGTAGTACTCATTGTCTTGAAGCTTTGATTGGAGAAAACTACTATACTTCTCAGCATCGTATGAAATTTATGTAAATCTAACTGATTACAAGACAATGTATACCTTGACCTCAAAGCATTGCATTATATATATTTTCATTTATATGTCTGTATGATTAGCAAAAGTTCTCTTATCTGTTTTACAAGGCTCTTTCAAATGAACTGTCAGGAATGCCAGGAAGCCTGACAGCCATGAAGTGTGACTTGACCAAAGATTTGGAAGTTCTAAATCTCTTCACGGGCATTAAGCAGCAGTTTGGTGGTGTTGACGTCTGTATCAATAATGCTGGGATGTCTCACAATCACAGTCTTCTTGGTAATTGCAAGTTTATGATTATTTGAATGGAAATGTCATTATGAGGAAAATATGGATATTTGCATTTCTCAGTGAAATAATCACACTTTTATTCTGTAATATTGTTATGTATGTAACATATTAACATAAATAAATATCCATTGCTCTGTAGATGGTACACCCGAAGAGTGGAGGGAAATGTTGGATTTGAATGTAGTGGCTCTTTGTCTTTGCACTAAAGAAGCTGTAGCATCCATGAAGGAACGTAAGGTGGATGATGGCCATATCATTCATATTAGCAGGTAAATATTTTTTTCTACCAAATTCTATGGGATATTGAATGTAACTGAGCACTTTTATAATAAAAGTAATGTGATATCTGCATTCAAAAATTAAACCCAAGAATACATTTTGAGGTGAAAAATATAACAAGAATAAGGTGTGACCGGCAAGCATTTAACTTATGATGACATAAATAGATACCTAAAACCTTTGAACTGTCATGGAATATAATAGTAACTAAAGATTTCAGTAGAAGACTCCAAAGTACTGGTTAAAAGATTTAAAGTGTATACTCTTAGATAATCTCTAAATTCAGTTTGTGGAAAATAGATATTAGGTTGCTGCTTTTAATACAATATCTTGAAATTTTGTGTATAAGAAGTATAACTGTGAAATATTTCTTATTCTCTTTTTTATTTT